TATTACCTGTTGATGATAACATGTATAGTATTCTCAACTGGATTGGTCTGAGAAGTATTTCATGATAGGTAAAGTTTTTTTACAAGCAAAATGAGAAATAGTGATTGACTGTTTTTAAAAAATAATTAGAATAATAATAATAATGATTGGGAAAAACATAGAAAAGATATTGAACGATGAAGTGGGGAGATTATTTCTGTATTGACTGACATGTATGGCATTCCCTTTTGAAAAAGCACTGTAATACACTGTAAAGTTATATGTAATCCAATGTAATATAAAGAAGATTATGATGATAATGAAAATAAAATAAAGAAAGAAAGAAAGAAAAAGAAATACTTTTAGTGACACACTTAACTATATTTCAGTGTCATTTCACTATTATAAATATATTTCCCTCCTTCTTCATGCCATATCTAAGCCCTTTTGCAATCCAGAGTTGTATAAATTTTGGAAACACATTAACATGAGTTAGGATATGCCCACACTGAAATAAACATATAAAAATATAGTTACAATATAAAGTAAACATCTATTTTATTAAATTTGTGAATCTATACATTTCACTCAAATGTATTTTTTAAAAACTTACATGAGTGAAAATTATCAATTTGACCAACTGTCAAAAAAAGATTTTCCACGTTGTTTATGTAAAAGCATTCTACCTGACAGAAAATATTTACAAAGGGTCTTCAAAATTCATGGGAAACACACATTATGCAAAAATTATGCATGGCTTCAAAAATGTTTTGCACCAAAATAAACTCATATGTTAATCCCATTTTTCCACTACTTTTAAGTGGAAAATGCCCTCATATTTAATAAAATATTTAAGTATACAAAGTGTTTAATTATAATCTAATTCTAATCCATATACTTTAGCTATATTGATGACAATAATATACTTTATCATGAAGTGATATTATCTGAAATAGTATTTTCAAATACAAACTTAAATCTAATAATATGACCACTCAATGTCATAAAAATTCCTCATATACAATTTTAACAAGTTGTCATTAAATTAATATTCTAAGATGACTTTTCCCAAACTTTACGTCAATGAATACCTTTGTAAAATGTCATGAATCACTAATGTGATCAAATGAAAATTTACTTATTCAGACATAGTTTGGTAGGTTTATTGATTCTCACAAGTCTAGCAATTACTCCACAATCCACAGGTTTGGAAGTCACTGTTTAATATGACCAGAAAAGCGCTGAGGAAAACTGAGGGGCAGTCAGGGTCTACCTGTCTCAATGCATTCAAGGATCTTCCATGAACAATAGCATAAAAATGCAATTACACTGCCACCTGCAGAAAATAGGCACATGCACTTAAACTGAGACTAAACGCAGATTTCCCTTTTTAGTTATACAAAATGAGGATTCAATCATACCTCAAGAATAGGACTCCAGTCAAGGATAGATGAACTCATAAAAACCATTCCATTTCTTGAGACAGTAGCAGGAGAAGCATTGTCGATGTTATGCGGTTCGAAAACAATCTTGCAGTTTGGAGCCATGGGAATCCGATCACCATTGGCAAGAGTCAGAGTTTTGTTATCATCCAAAACCGAGTTCAGGTTTTCAATCCAGATAGCATCAACTGGACCATCAAGGACTATCCAGATATGGTCCCCTAGAAAATCCCATCAAAGGTAGTTAAAAAAAATTTTTTTAAAAAGCATACATATACATAAGCGTTTACATATAAAACTTGAAAACAGAAAGACTAATATTCTATATAATTTTCATTAATTTTTAAATAAAGCTTTGATCTAAATGATAACCTTATTTTATCACATAGGACTTCTTAAGGTCCTTATATAGCAGTTGTTTAAGGCCCATAATCAAATCAAAAAGTCATCTGTTCATTGAACAAATACAAAATGAGTACTCTCTACATGTCAGCACTGTTCTAAGGTGTGGTACTCTTGTGGAAAATGAAACAATTCATACCTTTTCTGAGCTTACTTTCTATGGGATAGAAAAGACAAGCAAGTGAATAGGCAAAGATAGATATTTTCTATATATATATATATATACACACAAATAAAATAAGAAAAATTGATCAGGATACGGGGATGGAGCATCGTTTTAAGTAAGGTGGTCAATGGAATATTCCAGAAGGAGAAAGAAGTGATGGAAAGATCTAGAGATTTTTCAGACAGACTCTGAAGCAGACACAAGCTGCATGTTTATGTCCCCTCAAAATTCATGTATTGCAATTCTACTCCTCAATGTGATAGTATAAAAGGAGGGGCTTTGGGTCCTGTAGGAGGAGCCCTCATGAATGAGATGAGCTCCTGCCTTATAATAGAGGCCTCAGAGAAATCCCTAACTCCTTCACCATCTAAGGACACAATGAGAAATCAGCCATTCACAACCCTTCCAAGAGCATAATCATACTGACACCATTGTGTCAGACTTCCAGCCTCCTGAACTGTAAAACATCCCTGTTTAACAGTCACCTAGTCTGTGGCGCTTTGTTACAACAGCCTGTGCAGACCAACATAGGTGAGTATGTTCCAGAAACAGTAAGAAATTGAACCTGTTTAGCAAGAAGAAAGGGGGAGAGAAGTATATGAGTACAGTTGGAAAAACAGAAGGGGTGGTTCAGGCAGTGCTGTAGAACCAATTCTGGTTTGCATGCTGAGTGGCCCCGTAGAAGTCTAATAGAGTTATTGAATTGGGAACCTGAGAATGAAGTCAGGGTTAGAGGTTAAAACGTGGGAGCCAACAGTGCAGTGATGGAATTTAAAATCACAGGACTGGGAACATTTCTTCTAGATAATAAGAGAGGTAGGGGATTTGGGGACAGGAGCACAGCAACCCTTCGACTTCAAGTACAGGCTTCTTTGTTGGCTCCTCTCTCCTCTACACCTCTCCACAAAACTCGAGTGGAAGGGAAACCAGCAAAGGAGGAATCCCTGAAGCCAGAGGAAGGGAGGCTTCAAGGAGGGAAGCGATCAACCAGGCCAGGCATCACTGAGAGCAGAACCAGAAGAAAAATGGCGATTAGTATTTGACAACCGGGAGGATGCAAGTGTCCTTGATATGGCAATTTCAGAGGGACTCTGGGACACAACCAGATAGGAGTTAGTCAAGGAGCTATTTGGAAGTGGCAAACACCAGCAGAATGCTCAAGAGGAAGGCCATTGTAACTTTGGGTATTTGATTGAGCAGTAACCTTCCTTTTAATTTCTTTAGTAGCTTCTCCTAATCACAGACACCATGACTAAGCTCATGGATTGAATTTTTCCTTGCTATGGAACAACTGTGGAATATCCTATTTCAAATAAAATGCCTTGAAAATCATAATCAAGCTCATTTCAACTAGCAGTTTAAGTAAAGTGGTGATCTAATCACCAGAGTCACTTTGAAAGGAGAGACATACATTGGCTTTTTTATGAGGAAAGGCAAAAAATAAAAAACTCTTTGAGCTCCTGTTCTTTGAGGTAGCATTTGGTCACTGGGTCTGTATTTACATAGGATTACTGGAAGAAACCAGAAATAAAATTTGTTCATTTTTTCCCCATAAAACAATAATTTTTAAAATGAGCACACTTTAGAAATGAAGTATTTTTCATTTCTCTTTTGATAATTGATGTTAGGTTGATCGGCCATATTCTCCAAATGAGAGCGTCAGTGGCACTACCTTAAACATTTCTCAGCAAAACCCCATTGCCCCAAGAGGACTCAGGAAGTGAGCCCGAGTAGCTGTCTTTCTCCTGCATCTTTCTGTCTCCCTGCAATTACATCTACTGTGCCTTTCTGCTGCTCACTCAGGAGTGAGAAAACAATGACAGGAAAGCTGACATTGCCTCTTCCATCTGAGCTTATATTCTGAGAATGCTGGTTCCTATTTAGAGTCCACAAGTAAGAGACTGTTCAGACTGAACAGCTGGACCTTAATAAGTTTATTTAAACAACCAAATACTAGTGTCCACTTAAACAGGATAATTTGTCTGTTCAATATAGATAGAATTTTCTCCCCAAAGAAATTGCTTTCTCCTGTGATTTTATAGGTGAATCACTTTTTTAAAAAATAGGCTGTGCTTAAATAAGAATAATATGTTTAAATATTCAATGAAAATAGTTATGGTAAAATCCTTCAGTCAATATTATTGATTTTCCTTAACAGCTTTTTCCATCTAATGTATATGAAGTCGTGTAGAACTAATTTTTCAAAAAGTATTATTACCCCCCCAAAAAGTAGGTAAACTAATCAATAAATTCATTATGTCAGCATTTACAAATATCATACTGAGTTATGACATCTTATTCTTGACTAAGATATTATACAGACAATACAGTTGTTTGACTAATTCTATACAGTCACAAGGATTTTATTTAGAATTACACATCAAAAATAATACCTGTGATTCATTGCATACCTTTCTTAGCTCTCAATGTTTTCCTCCAAAGGGTAGAAAATATCCCATCAGTCCAATCATTTGTGGCCACATCAAGCCGACCAAACATCTGTGGGGCAGTAATTGCTTTGGGATTCATCCTCATTTCCCGGTGTGGTTTTCCACAATCTGTATCAAATAAATCCAAAGTTGAACATCCCAATGTGGAATGAACCATTAAGCAACATCACACTAACTTGTAATGTACTATCAGCAGGTGCTAAATTATGAGAAATGCAAAATTACATTGAAAACATGTAGCTTACTGATTCCAAGTTTTCATACATAGCTTCATTGTATTTTATTCACTAAAGCACTGTTTTAGCTCTTTTTTTTTAAGTGCATATTACTTAGGGGAAGAAAAAGATACCATGCTGGTATTTATTGATATTTATAAGAGTACTAATCTGGAAGTTCTCTAAATTTCACAGCTCAAAAAAATCTTCAGTTTGTAGTATACTCAATTAAATCTTGTGCCTGAAATATGACCTAGAAAATGCTCATTCACTCCATTATTAGCTGTTTTCTTGCTTACTTTGGAAAAGATAAGCTGAGTGAATTTTGCATTAATCAAAACTTATTTTATGGCCAACCTCAAGAAATATATATATGAACTTTCACATCCTAAAACTATTCTTAATGGTCTGACATTCTGGATATAAGGGAATGTCATTATGAGCAGAAAAGTGAAGAATAAAATTAAAAGTATGAAATTCTAACAATAGATGCTAAAATATTACATACTATGTGAAAGATCATCAAATGCAAGCCTATCTATAAGTATGTATACATACACACATTAGAAAAAAATGTTAATTTAAAACCCATTAAGTTGATTAATTGTATGTGTGAACTTGACTGGTGACCATTTAAACATTTCTGGTGTGTTTCTAGAAGTGTTTGTTAGCATTTGAATCTCTGGGCTCAGAAAAGTGGATTGTCCTCTTCCTTATGAATACACATCTTCCCACCTGCTGATAGTCCCAATAGAACAAAAAGCAGAGGAAGGAGAAATTTGTCCCTTTTCTTTCCTGCCTGCCTTTCTGAGCCCAGACAGTTCAACTCATCTTCTCTAGCCCTCAGACTGGATTTGCATCAACTCTCCTGGTTCTTAGGCCCTAAGACTCAGATTAAACTCCGCCACCAACTTTTCCTGGGTTTCCAGAAAATCATGAGACTTCTTGACTTCTTGATCTCCATAATCATGTGAGCCAATGAATCCCCATATGTGTGTCTGTGTGTTTGTGTTTGTATCTTTCTGTTTCTGTTTCTCTAGAGAACTAAAAAACACCTTTAGAACATTAGACTATATTTCTCCTTTTCTTTATTTTTTAGAAATCACAAGTAAAATCAGGGCAATTATTTGTAGAATTTTATGATGAAGTTCAACTTAACAGCTATAATTCCATTTTTGTAATAGATGACATCCATAAAACTCTGAGAACACTTGTTTGTTTATCTAATCACACTTTACAAAAGGCCAGCCAAATCTTAAAGAATATGACAGTATCACTTGTGAAAATTGGACTGAATCTGTTGCCCATATAATAGAAATTATCAAAAATTATTTTATTATGGTGGATAGGATACAAACGGTAAGATATTGACTATCAACTTTTTTTTCCATTGGTTGAGATTCTGACTGCCTCAGAGACATTAATTTCCACCCACTAATAGCTCACCCTTCTTCCAGGCTGAGCTACTTCCCTGGCTTCAAATAAACTTGTTGGCATTGATTTTTTTTTTTCTTTTCAGATTTTGCCTATGGTGCATGTGCTCTCCAGATAGAGACAGAGAGGGAAAGTGAGGAATCACCCCCTGAGGGGTTGGCTATGCCCACAGTCCTTCTCTATTCTCCTCTTGGGATTTTGGGCATGCACACACTCATACCTGACATATTTTTCTTTTGTTTGTTTTGTTGTTGTTGCTTCTCCCAGAGTTCACTCTTTTTTTTTTTTTTTTTGTAGTCCCAGAGTTCACTCTTTTTTTTTTTTTTTTGTAGGTTTTTGCCATAGGGCATATGTGCTCACCAGAGAGTGAAACAGACAGACAGAGATAGAGAGAGAGAAAGGGAGAAATTGCCTCCCAGTGGTATGGCCACGCTGCAATCTCCTCTTCTCTCTTCCTGGTATTTTGGACATGCGCACACATGCACATGGTATGAGTTTCAAGCCACCAGATCCAGGACTTGAACCATAGCTAGCTATGTGGGAGTGCAGCACCTTAACCATCACACCACTTTCTGGTCCCACCTGGCATGTGTTTCAAGCCACCAGGTGCGGGACTCAAACTCTGGAGTCAGCCATGTGGGATCTAGTGCCTTAGCAACTATGCCGTCTACTGGCCTAAGTAAAGTCTTAAGGCTGAAAATGTAGGAGATATGACTAGAAGACATGGTTATACTTTTCCTACTTGTTTTCTCACTTCTAATGCAGAAACTGGCAGAAGAGTAAAGATACTAGATGATAGTTAACATGCTGGACTCCCACTTGGCAAGATACTGGATGATAGTTAACATGCTGGACTCCCCACTTGGCTAACTGTGGTTTAAGTCCTAGACCTGATGACTTGCTTTCTCTCTCTTTCTCTCTGTTTCTCTTTGGTGAGTGCACATGCCTGTACCAAATTTTAAAAATAATGATGATGATGCTGTTAAATATAATTAAATAATTATTTTTAAAAAGTTTGTCTTGGGACCAGCAGATAGCATGATGGTTACATCTCCAGACTCCCATGTAGTTGACCATGGTTCTAGTCCCTGATCTGGCAGCTTAAAACTCACACTAGGTGGGTGTACATGCATACCTAAAACCCCAAAGGGATAATGGAGAAGAAGATATTGTGGTGTGGTCATCTCCCTGGGGTGTGATTTCTCACTTTCTGTCTCCCTGTGTCTCTTTGGCGAGCACACATACTCTACAGCAAAAAATCTCTCTCTCAAAAAATAAAATAAAAAAGTTTGGGACCAGTAGATGGCATAATGGTTATGTTTCTGGACTTCCATGCAATTGACCACAGTTCAAGTCCTGAACCTGGCGACTTGAAACTCACACCGGACACCTGCGCGTGGGTGCCGGAGATCCCAAGAGGAGAATGGAAGAGAGGGTACTGCAGCATGGCCATCCCCTTGGGGGCTGATTTCTCACTTTGTATCTCTGTTTCTCTCTATCTCTCCAGCAAGCACACACACCCTTTAGCAAAAATCTTTCTCTCAAAAAACAAAACAAAAAAAATGTCTTATGTACTAAAACCAATAATGGATTTATAAACAGCAAAAGTTCTAATGGTGAATTCATCTTTGCAAAGATCTTCTCCAAATCTGTGATGCCATATGCATTATATAATTTAGATATTTCATATGTAATGTATCTGTATTGTTTAATATTCAGTACCCATTTTGTTTAAGTCACTGTAACATTTGTAGGTGCATTTGTTGTTTATTGTTAACGGGAGGCAGCTAGCTTCATAACTGCAACAAAAACATTATTAGACACAACCTGGGAGGAAAAACAGTCATTTTAAAACAAGTAAAACTCCCAAGACAAAGTCTTACTACCATACATGAAAAACCATGTGACAAGTCCTGCAGGTGGTGGAGAAAAAAGTTGGCATACTCTGAGGACTCCCTAGTAGTATAGAAATCATGTTATCTCATAACAGGAAACCAAGGCAAAATCCAATACTGGAAATTCTAAAAGCCACCACAAATGACCAGTATTGCACTAGTATCAGTACACCGGAGTTCCATGAGCTGACTTGACACCCAACCAGGAGCCGTTCCTCTCTGGGTCTGCATATGCTGCCTTCCAATAGCCAAAGTTCTGTGAAATTAGGGAACTCAACTCTGCCATGACTAAGAGTCATTGGTATTAGGTTGTCAGGAAAGTCATGATGTAATTTTCTGTTTTCTACACAAAAATGCATCATGACTTTCCTGACTACCCCATAGTTTTAGGAAGAATTGATTCTCTTTATCATCTGTGTCTGAGCAGAACCAGGGAACACAAGAACAATCATAAACGTAAACTACCATTTTCCTTGGCTACCCTAGGGCAGAGGATATCTGTATAGAGCTATCTGGACTTGAATCTCAGTAATTTAACTCTACCAGGAAGAAAAATGATTCTAGATGGGAAATTAGTTTATGCTTAAGATGATTTCAACACAGAATTTCAGAGTTGAGACTGAAATTACTTTATTTTGTTGGGAAGTAGCATGCTGTATTTAGGGAAAAGTGACCTGTATTCTAGGAAAAATCTGGGTATTTAGTTAGTGGGCCTGGATTAACTCAGAATCCCATCCCTATCATCTTTGTAAACTTGGGCATTTCTGAATTTGAGAAAAATAAACTAGGGATAATAATAACCATCTCTCAAGATCACTGTGAAAAGTAAATGACAAAATATATCTAAAACACATAGCATGGTGCATAAAGTCACCTAAAAATGTCTTTTCCTCTGGTGTATTAATGTGACATATTGTATTAATGTGATTTGTTGTCTTTAAAATGTACCAAACAGTAAAGCAGTGCTCCTGCCTGTGAAAACACACTAATGGATCTGCCTTTGTGTCACTCGTGCATTCCACTGTGTCACAACTCCTTCACAGTGTCACCCAGAACAATGGCATTGGCTGCCCCATACCTGTCATGGCTCTCATCAAGGTGTGGATGCATGTGGTTTTCCCTGCTCCACTGGGCCCCAGGGTCATCATTCCATGCCTCACCCTCTGTGTTTCGAATAGCTGGATGACTTTCAGTTTCCAAGGGGGATGGTCGATTAAACCAGCTTCTTCAACCTGAAAGCATATTAAAATTCCCACATTGGACCATGTCAGCAATGTTCTGGACTTCTCATTGTGCTAAAAATATGCATAGACATGAGAAAGTGATGAGGAGCTACTATTTAAGAATAATTTTTTAAAATATGTATTTATGGGGACCAGCAGTTAGTGTAATGGCTATGTCGCTGGACTCCCATGTAGTCAACCATGGTTCAAGTCCTGGACCCGGTGGCTTAAACTCACACCAGGTGTGTATGCACACGTGCCCAAGATCCCAAGAGGAGAATGGATAGCCATACCCCCTTGCTTTTTGTCTCTCTGTCTCTCTCTCTGTCTTTCCAGCAAGAGCACACACCCTATAGCAAAAACCTCTAAAAACCAAACAAATAAAAAAATGTACTTATGGGGCCAGCTGGTGGCATGGTGGTTAAGGTGGCTGGGTCCTACATGGTTAACTGCATGGTTCAGTCCCGGACCCAGTGGCTTATAAACACACCAAACATGTGTGGATGCACGCCCAAAATCCCAAAGGCAGATGTGGAGGAGAAGATATTGTAGTATGACCATCCCCCATGGGGGATGCTTTCTCACTTCCCTTTGTCTCTCTCTCCCTCTTTCTGGTGAGTACACATGTCCTCTGGCAAAATTTATAAACACACATATATATCAAGAAGACATAAATATATGTAAATGCACAGACACAAACAAGGCTGAACATAATCAAAATGTTATCCCAAGATAATAAAAAATCTGCATCTTTCTTTGGGAATTGAATATATTTATACAATTATGATTTTATTAAATGGACATCTGAAGAGCAACTTAAAAATAAAGACTCACATGACAAAATGCATTTAAATTGTTTAACTTCAAAGATGATACTTGTAACTAGAAAAACAGATTACATACCAGATTGACTAAAATTCCATATAAATTTCAACCTGTTTTTGTAAGTCTACTGCATAGTTTTTATCCATCAAACACTGTCCCGACCCACAGGACAGTCAAACAATTCCCTGAGGGAGGGAGTGAGAGAAGGGACAAACACATCGAGTAGAGACAAGATGAGGTGCTGATCAAGTCTCGTTTATTGTAGAACAGACTGCGATTATATACATGCCGGTGGGCATTGATTGGCTGCCCGAAATGCAAGTAGGGTATCATACTATGGATCAATCATTGGTAGCCTGGAAATGTAAAGGAAGCATTCTGGTTTGACCAATCGGCGTGTGTCCCGCATGGTGACCAATCATCTATTACTGTTATTGTTTGCTCAGCGGGGAAGTGAAACCCAAAGGTTTCTTAAGATGGCCGATAGCTCTTAATATGGCTCCCGTGTCGCTCACGTAATGCAGCGCCCTCCACAAAGCACATGTACAGAAGTTACTCAGTGCTAAAGATTGTTCTAAGATTAATCTTCGGAAATCATGATGAAATTGGCACTATTAGTGCCTTCATTTTACAGGAGACACTAAGTAAGTAATTTGCCCCAAAGGGCCAACTTGTATAGTTATGAGATGGCGATTTGAACCCAAGAAGTTCAGGTCCTTGGCTCATGTCCTTAACAATCATGCTCTGCTTGAACTTTCTGTAAGTGACAGTTCTAATTTCACTTAAATAATTTTGGATAAAAATTATGAATCTCTTTACAGTGTGTATTTGCTTTCCATAATTCCCATATCCTATAAATTCCTAATGCTACCTTCTCTTATAAATTACTTAATACTTAGTTTATTTTATGTAATGCTACCATTAATTTAATCTAATGATGAAGAAATCAGTTGCAGAATGACTTATCACTCTTACCTCATCAGGAAATTTAGACTTTGATATACTGATTTTTGTATACATTATAAACTATACATTAAATGCAACCACTTTTGATTTTTGTTAAATATATTTTCAAGGAGTCAAATGCATTTTATAAATATAAGCTAATCACTTCTTTAAAGCAACATTTTTTGCAAATTTTTTTTATACGAAAGGTAATTGGCACAGATTTACATGACTCATTTTCATTCCTAGGAAGGCTATAAAAAGTTAAAGCTCCAGGACCAGCAGGTGACATGGTGGTTGAAGTACTGGAATCCCATATGGCTGACCACAGTTCAAGTCCTAAATCTGGCAATTTGCCTTTTTACTCTTCCTCTCTCTCACTCCTTGTCTCTCTGGTCAAACTGACTACTAAATAAAAGATAAAATAATAAATAAAATAAGTAATCCTTAAAAAAAAAAGTTAAAGCTGCACCAGGTGTGATAGGAAGTCCAGACACCTAAAAACTTACATAGTGTAGTGGATTCCCCCACCAAGGGCCTCAGGAGGAAATCACGAGTGCCCAGGGAAGAAAGGAGGAAGGCTGAGATGCCACATGAGATCACTGTAAACAATACTCAGGTGCAGAAGCAAGGTGGCATACGCCAGGGCAGAAGACACACCTAGGCAAGTGTATGCAAGATAGCAGCTCGCCCCCGCCCCCTGGCCCTGGCCAACAATCATTTCACTTCTGAATCTGGAGTGGAACAGTTTCCATCAGTAACAGGGCCACTCATACATGACTGACTATGCATGTGACTGTGCAATGCTAGGACTCCTGGCAGGAAGAGCTCTATTAACCACATGCAACAGCCTCCCGTCAAATGGTAGCTGTAGCTTTGGCTTTGTTCTCAGACCCACAAGTTCAGGCCACACCAGTTTCATTGGTTCCTATATAATTCAGCAGACACCGCACTCGATGCCTTGTGACATATATTACCTGTCTACTAATTGCTGATTCCAATTCAGGGTAGCCTGCCTTGTCCAGGAGAATATTTGGGAAGAGATCTTCAATCAAACTCAAAAATAAGGGCTCGTCCTCATCAATCTAGAAAAAATAAGAAAGGGAACTCAGACCAACTATTCTGGCACAAAAATAGCAGTGAATAAATAGATTGAAAATACCCAACACATCCCAGGCTATTCTAACACAGCTACTTAGAAATAAAATATCACCTTCACTGAAGCTGAGTAATATTTCCCTCATCTTCCCCACAAATTAAAAATTTTAAAATTAGAGGCCAGCAGGTGGCATGATGATTAAAGTACTAGACTCCCACATGGCTGACCTCAGTTCAAGTCCCAGGCCCAGGGGCTTGAAAACCACACTGGGCACAAGTGTATGTGCCCAAAATCCTAAGAGGAGAATGGAGAAGGGACTACAGCATGGCCATCCCCCAGGGTAGAGCAGATTTCTCACTTTTCCTCTCTCTGACTCTCTGTGTCTCTTTCCAACAAGTGCATGTGCTCTATAGGAAAAATTTTAAAAAGGAAAAAAAAAAAAGGGCCTAAAGAAGAGAAACAAAAGAAAATGGAAGGAAAAAAAAGTACTACCTAGGGGAGAAACTTTTCATAAAATTAACAGTTCGGGGGACACAATATAGTGTACAATTTTTAATAGAATTTGTTAAATGAAATACAGTAACAAATTCGTGAACTGAAATTCATTTATACTTTTATTCTGAAGTTAAAAAGAGCACCATTTTGCCGTCCTATGGATAGATGCACTGATACTGAGCACTGATCACCTGTCTGGGAAATAAGAGTGGGAAATGATTTCACACTCGGAGAATTCATATACAATTTCCTGCTAGGCTCTACAGACTTTTAAGAAGGTGAGATTTTAGCACTAAAACATAAAAGTGATTCAAGGTATTTGGAACCTTTATGTGTAGATTTTTTTTAAATGCACTTTGGAAGGCAGCTATGCTAACCGCTATACCACCAACGCCTGGGCAAAATGCACTTTGATTCTATTGAAATGGGCATATTTTAGACTAGATCGGAGTCATTCCAAAAAGATCTGAAAAAGTAAAAAGTTGTGCTCTCCGCACTTGATCTGATTGTGAGCCATTTAAAATGGATATTTGCATGGCTCATTTGTGCAGAATTAGTTGAACTGATATGTAAGTAGGTGAAACATCCCCATCTGTGAGTTTTACCAGTTTGGAAAGATTCATATCTCGCAGCACACGCATGACAATCGTCGATTCCGTATCTGTAGGGTTGGCTCGTTTAGAGGCACCCAACGTCCGCAGAACTGACAGAATGTTACGCAGACCAAAGTCATAGTGTACCTGAAGAATGTTAGAAATTCCAAGTTTATTTTCAGCATTAAGTTGCTATGAATTTGGAAGATCTATTTGCAATAATGAATAAATGCTGATTTTCCTTTTAAAAACTCACAGGGAAAATGGAGCAACACATTTCTTTATCGATATACTTTTCTGAGCAAATAAAGATTATCCATGAGAGAATTTCCAGGTACCATCACTAATTTAAGCTTTTAGATGAAAACTAACTGAAAAGTCATGCCATAGTTTTCTTTGTTTTTCTATACGAAAATATGCCATGGTTTTTCTGACAACCTAATAGCTTAACAGGGGAAAAGAAATAAATTTCTACTTGGAGTATAGATATCCCCTTGTTCTTAATCAAATACAAAATAAAAGTCCTCATATATGTAGAGGTTTAATTCAGAACAGAATTAAAATAAGACCTTACCTACAACCATCATACACATGACTTTTTATTATTAGTAAGAAGACAGGGATATTGAGTGGGAAGAAGAACAGCTACACCCCAGGACTATATGGAAGGGCAGGAGGTAAAATCAGAGCAAACCAGAAAGCCAAGCCCTAGCCCTGTCATTCCCTTGGTGTGTATTTATAAACATTCAATCATGCCAAATTTCAGCACATACCAAGTAAATTATTAAAATCCAATTTTCAGCCACTGTGGAAAACAGCATTGTAGATCCTCAAAAAAATTAAAAATAAAACTACCATATGATCCAGCAATCCCACTTCTGGGTGTATATTCGAACACATTGAAGGCTGAGTTACCAAGAGCTATTTGCACACCCAATAGCACTATTCACAAGAGTCAGGAGATGGAAGTAACCCAAATGCCCAGTGACAAATACATAAACACAATGGGCATACATGTACAATGAAATAGGAAGGAAATAGGAAGAAAATCCTGCCACGTACTGTGACATAGACGAAACTTGAAGACATAATACTCAGTAAACTATACCAGTTGCAAAGAGAAGTATTGCACCATGTCACTTCTATGAGTATTTAAAGTGGTGAATTTCACAGAAAGAAAAAGTAGAATGGTGGTTAGAAAAAGTAGAAGGGCTGGAGGGAGAGGGAAGAAAGGGACTTGTTGTATAATGGATATAGAAGTTCAGTTTTCAAGATGAAAAAGTCCTGGAGATCTGTTTCACAACATGGTGAATATATTTAACACCACTGAACTACTCACAGTGGTAAATTTAATGTTAAGCTTTTTTACCATAACAAAAAAGTATAGAATAAAAAAATGTTAATCAAATACTTTTATTTGATAAAAATAAAACAAAAGTAAACTCTTCACAGGGTCTGGTCAAACCACAGTGCTCTTCCTCCAGTCCTCAGCTCATTAGATCTTGGGTTCTTACACATGCACCTGGCATGTTTCAGGCCAACTGGACCAGGGAGTCAAACTGCAGCTGCCATGTGGCTTGCAGCACTGAAGTTTGGCATGCTGCTGCCCTTGCCACCATGGCTGGTTTAGTGGCATAATCAGAAAAGCGTGTTAAATTAAATTATGTGCAAAGGTCATTGGGAACATCAGGCCATGTTTAGAAGATGGAGCAAACAAAAATATTCAGATTGAGTTTCTGCCTTCAGGAAATTTAAATTCTAGTTAAGACAGTAACAAAAGTAGAGCAAACTTGCACAAAAATCAGTTTCTTGAAAGTAATCAAAGAAAACTTCCTATCAGGAATTGACTCTGAGTCACAGAATGCTCACCAAGAGATTGGTAAGGAGCCAATTGTTTTGTTCACATTGATTCATTTTTATTTCACAGTTACACTATGACAAGAGCTGCAGGAGTAAAGGTAGTAACAATGAAGTTGTAATGAAGAATAGGGCAGGAGTCAATGATATGGGATTTTTTTTGGGGGGGGGGAGTTCTTGGGGTTTTTTATTATTATTATTTTGCTATAAGGTGCACGCACTTACCAGAGATATGTAGAGAGGGAACATAACAAAGCACCCCAAGAAGAGATGGCCACACTGCAATCCCTTCTCTTCCACTCTCCTCTCAGGAGTTTGGTCACACATGCACATGTGCCAGGTATGTCTTTCAAGCCACCAGGTTTAAGACTCAACCATACAGTCAATCCACTTGGGACTCAGTGCTTTCACTATCATGCCACCAAATGATGCTGTGGAAATTTTCTATATACAAGAAATAGCATAGAATATTCCTTTACAGAATAAAAAACAAGAGTGAGTAAAGGTAGTACTAAGTAGAAGAGTCTGTTCAGAGGTTCTGGTTGAGGAACACATTCTTGGGCTGAGCTACCCAAGCAGCTCAGCCCAACAATGGGCCTTGTATACCTGAAAAGGCCATCTTCTTTGGATACACAGTTTGGGAAAGGAAATGTATGGAGAAGTGAGGGAAGAAGAGGATATCCATCCAGCCTGCCCGATCAGAGGAACCAACCCTGGCCATCAACGAGATGACAGTTATCATAGCCAGATTGCCCTCATATTCAGTTAAGTAGAAAAAATAAAATATGTTGGTGGCCAAAGGCAAATAGCAGTATCAGGCCACTCAATAGGGCTCAATGGCCAGGGTCAGAAGGTCCTGTGTGTCTGAACACTCACTGGGAAAGAATTTTTGAGTGGGGATGTGATTTGGTTGAGCCTGTGGATATAAAAATATAATTGAGATCCAAAGAAGTTTAGAATGAAAGCCTTGAGGAAGAGAGAGATTAAATGTTACATATGGGAACAAGCATATGGTGTAATGGTTACGTTGATGGACTTCTATGAAGTCGACTGCAATTTTGAGTCTCAGACCCAGCAACTTAAAACTCGCAGCAAGCATGTGTGTGTGTGCGTGCCCAAAATCCCAAGAGGAGAATGGTGTGCCCAAACCCCTAGAGGGTGATTTCTTGCTATCTGTTTCTTTATCTCTGTCTTCCTGGTGAACACATTCACCCTATAGTAAAAATTGTTCTAAAAAAAAGAAAAGAAAAATATGGGGCTGGCAGGTGGCGTTGTGGTTAAGGACACTGGATTCCCACATGGCTGACTGTGGTTCGAGTCCCAGACTGGTGACTTGCTTTCTCTCTCTCTCTCTCTCTCTCTCTCTCTCTCTCTCTCTCTCTCCCTCTCTGGTCAAATAAAAAGTAAATAAATAAATAAAGTTAAATGAAATAATTATTTTTAAAAAAGAATAAAAGAAAAATAAATAAATGTTACATATTTTAGGAGGTTTAGTCACATTATTTTCTTTTCTTTGCTATGATGTGTCATTATTTAGCATATGCTTTTAGTAATTGTTACTTATATGCACTGGAAAATGCCTACTTCCAGGTACAGGTGAGCGAGTTGCATTGAATATGGGCAGGACCTGGCATTTACTCCTAATAGAATACAGCAGAGATGACAGATTATACAAGTTACATATCTCTTATTCAAAATGCTTGGGACTAGCAGTGTTTTGAATTTCAGATATTTTTGGATTTGTGAATATTTGCAATATTTTGGGGATGGGACCCAGATCTAAATACAAAATTCATTTATGTTTCATATACACCTTATACACATAGTTTAAAGATAATTTTATGCAATAGTTTTGTATTGCTGCATTTTGACTGTGACCCATCATGCGAGATTTTCACTTACAGCATTTGTCAGCGCTCAGATAGTTGCATGATTGGAAGCACTGAGGGTTTTGCATTTTCAGCTTAGGAGTGCTCAACCCATATGTGATTATGCGTATGTGACTGTGTGTCCACATTGCACAAGAGTACAGTGCTCATCTCGCTAGAAACTCTCCTTGCTGCCTATGAGAACACAACAGGCTATGCTGGAGAATTCTATGTAACAACAAATTAATAATGTACAACCTGTGGGAGCTAAAAGTGGCCTTCAACCAACAGAAAGCAATAAATGGAATCATTCCTCAGCTTATCAACTCAAGGAACAGAATTTTCCCAACAACCCGAGACCTCAGTAGATTGTTCTCCAGTCAAGCATGGGATGAAACCACAGCCCCAACCAAAATCATGATTACAGTCTTGTGCTATGCTTGGACCCCGTTAGGCTGACTTCTGATAATATAGAGAGTATGAAATAATAAATGTGCATGTTTTATGCCATTTAGTTTATAATAAAATTGTTATGTAGCAACAGGTAACTAATATGGAAGTAATAAATGATTGATTCATGCCTCTCATCTTAAAACCTGATGATGCTGGAACCTGCTACTCCTAACAGTGGCATAAACTAGCAAAAAGGTTACAACACGGGAAATACATAATTAGTAAGCCTTGGTCAAATACTTGACTGAGATAACAAGTGAGAAGAGTAAATGAATGAGAGGTTCCTGAAAGACAGGATGACACATACAAAAGTTATGATGAGTATATATGTGATAGGTACATAAACAACAATGTGAATTATCTATAATTCTTTGGCTCTTAAATCATTTCATATAGTAATTACCTTGTTTCTAGGCTACAAATATTAATTTCTTAAAATGTACTTCTTAATTAAACTATGCATAAAATATTATTTTTGCAATGATACACCTTTTTACTTAGTATTAATAAAGTACTTTATTGGGGCCAGCAAGTGGGCTGGTGTCTAAGGGCACTGGACTCCCACATGGCTGACCATAGTTGGGAGTCCCAGACCTGGCAGCTCCCTTTCTCTCCCTCGCTCTCACTCTGTTTCTCTCTGGTCAAATTAAAATAAATAAATAAATGAAGTTAAATAAAATAATTCTTTAAAAATTTTTTAAAAATTAAATAAAGCATTTTATCAACAGCCCAAATCATTTTATCAACAGCCCAACAATTTTTAAAGATGAATACACTTCACTGAATAGAACAATGAAACAAGCCGAAGTGCACAGAGGTCTTCAGAATGCCACACCTGCTTAGAAAGCTGCTCCTCGCACAGCTTGTAGAGTGTGAAAAACTTCCTGGCCAAAACAATGTTGTCAATGAAACCACAGCTCGCCAGCTTCACCCTTATGATAATCTGACGGTCAGGGACCATCATGGCCACCGAGCGGAAGTTAATCTTCAAGTTTTCAGGAAGTTCCTGCCGCCCGGCATAGCCAGGATTCTAAAGAGAAAATAAGCCCCCAGGATGAGTGATAAGGTCATGGGGCAGCAAACATACATCACACGATAGCTAAAGCTTCCTTGTGCACACATGCAAATATGGAAGACAACCAGACACCTCATTTACTTCTCTCGCGCTTCTTTAACCTGGGCTGACTAAAGCATGACTTATTATTATGATCTTGTTTAACACCAAAGGCTTTGAAACAGGAGTGAAAATTACACCAACCCCCTCTCATGGACAGTAGGTGGCATACAACCAGGACGATGCATGAAGACTGTGGTAAGAAGACGGAAACTCAGTAGCTCTTCTAGTAGATCCTTACCATGGTGAGAAAAAGCCCAAACTCAGGGTTCATAGTCACATTATCTCCATCAGTAAAAATGAAAGATTTTTTACGCTCCTTTTTACATGTCAAAATAATGGAAATTTGCTGGGCTGCAACCGAAAGAACTGGTAGATCGATACGGTTAAACTCATCAAAACAACCCCAGGATCCAGACTGTGCCAGTCCTTAGAAAGAAAATTAAATAAAAAATCCAATTAATCTTAATTTTGGAAAGCAAAAGAGAAAGAGCCAAAGACAGAAGCTCAGCTTCCAGGATGAGCGTGACATAGGCTTGTTCAAAAATGAAGTTGAATCTGGTACTTAATGCCTCCATGCTTTAATTTCCTTACCTGTAAAACAAAAATAATAGTAGTGACATGACTGCTCTGCATAGTTGTTGAGATTAAGTGAACTGACACATGTAATACATACAGAATGACATCCGGTGTATAGAAGGAGTAAGGGGTCAATTAATGGAGAGTTACTTAAAAGAAAATGAAGTTGAACAAATAGATCAGGCCTTTTATGGCCCCTAACAACTCAAAATTTGGCATTTTATTTGTAATCACCCAACCCACCATGATAAAGGAACATTACAAAGGCAAGTAATGTTTATACTTGGTTCATGCAACACAGGTAAGATTCAAGATTTTCCAAAAAGTTTACAAAGTTGAAAAACAACACTAAAATGTAGCCAATTGTTTAAAAAATAAACCCTAACAAGATATTCTTAGCAACATATTTTACCAAATAAAAAAATACTTAAGGACCAGACAGCAGTGCAGTGGTAAAATGAATTACTGTGCCACGTTGATTCACGTGGGAAGTTTCCTGGTTGGAGTCTAGAGACTCAGACTCTGAGTTTGACAGGCATGTCATTTTCAGAATTCAGGGCTGGCTGTGGCTAGAGTGGATAATGGTGTTGAGACCGTATTGGAGGTGCTCTCTCTCTGTCACTCTGTCTCTGTCCCTTTCTCTCTTTCATTGAAGAAATGAGTAAGTCATGTATATATCTCACTGTTATTTTAATTTGGCAGATGGTACATGCATTTGCCACTGAGAGACAGAAAGAGATGGGGGAGGGAAGCAAGAAAGCATTCTCCATTAGGCATAGTTACTTTACAATGCCCTCTCCTCCATTTTTCCTTTCAAGATTTTAGGCACACAGACACACACACACATACACACACACACAAACACACCTGGCTGTCTTTCAAGCTATTGTGTCTAGGATTTAAGTTATATGGTTGTCACACACACACATACACACACACACAACACACCTGGCTGTCTTTCAAGCTACTGTGTCTAGGATTTAAGTTATATGGTTGGCCATGTGAAATCCAGCTGTCTTAACCACTGGGCCATAGGTTTATAAATTTTACCTTTAAAAATCCGTCCAAGCCCTCGGAAATCCATCTGATCTGAACAATTGAAAACCACGACGTACTTCCCAAGACATCGCCCCATATCTTTGGTGGTTTCCGTTTTGCCTGTTCCTGCAGGTCCTGCAGGGGCTCCTCCCATGCTCATCCCCAGAGCTTGTGCCAATGTGATATAACACCTTGAGGGATAGACACATCATTAGAACCACCTCCCCAGCGTGTGCAAGATACTTCCAAGACATCGCGGTGAGGTGAAACCAGCACAAGATTGAAAAAAACAGATGTAGGCCATTGTTTCCACATAACATTTCCAAAACTAAAAAATATGCTTGTCCTTATGGATGTTACTATGTGGTGAGGAAGAAGTACGGGGTAGTCTCCAGTCAAATAAGTTTGAAAAATTCTTGAAAGGGTTAAACTGATTTCTCTACTGCAAAGTTTTTTTGGGCTTTCTTTAATAACTTGTATTGAGAATCTGCAAATATGAAAACAAGTACATATTTCCAAAATGTATTTGGTAACTTTTTCCCAGAAATCTACCACATTTAAAGGATGATGTTGAAGGGGCAGGCAGTGGCACGAAAGTAATGCAAACTTGGGACCAGCAAGTGGTACAGTGGTTAAGGTGCTGCATTCCCACATAGCTGATCATAGTTCAAATCCCAGAACTAGCAACTGGAAAATCATGATAGATGATAAATAGATATAGATAAATGATAGATATAGATGGATAGATAGATAGATAGATAGATAGATAGATAGATAGAGATAGATAGAGATACAGACATAGGTAGATATAGATGTATATAGAGAGAGACAGAGACAGAGAGAGAGAGAGAGATAAAAGAAGAACTAGTGGAAATTCTCTGCAGCTATCCACCAGGGAACATGCCAGGTTCATATTTAGAGACCTCCCTGAGCATGTTGGGTACATGTACCTGTGATCTGGAACTAGCTGAAGCTGGCAGTGGGTCACAGTGTCAATACCATTGGGGATGCTGTCTCTGTCTCTCTCACCCATAAAAGAAACACTTTTTTAAATTAAAATTAAATAAAGGATAATATTCTATAAAATAGATTGAGAACCATTTAAGTAAATTAATTCCCTTCTGAGTTTAAGAATCAAACATTAGACGTGCTTGGGATTTAAATCACACATTGCCAAATAATCATATCACGAATCTATTTTTGTGATGTCTAGACCTGCATGTACCTGCTACTGTATCTTAAATGTGAGATTAACAAACAAAAGATTTAATGAGAGAATTCAACAAGTCTGTAAAGGAAAATGTTTATCCTGAAACCTTGCTAATAAATTATTTGATTCCCGGGACCATCTGGCATTGTCATAGGAGACAATTCATAAAGTAGTACAGTATAGGGTTTTCTTGTGGCCAAACTATAAAGCATTCATTTGGACTTGGTACAAGATTTGAAAGAGAGGAAGAGATTATCCAGCATGAAGGGAGAAATAACTAATCGCAGGCCATCCCGGGTCTGTCTTTATTACAAATGGGTTCTGAAAAAGCAAGTACATTACTCTTCCCTGAATGTATTTGGAGCCTGGATGAGAATGAAAATATCTGAATCTGAATCAGGAAGACACCTGCTCTCACTTCGATGTTGAGGTCTCTCTCCCCCTCACACTTCTGCTATCCCTTTCAGAGCAGAATCTGTAATAACAATAGCCAACACAATATACTCCACATACATTATCTCAGTCGATTCCCAGACAAACTTGCCAAGAAGCCACTGTTATTTTTCCCATTTCGCAGCTGAGGAAAGACTCACAGAGACTGAGGAACTTTTCTCAGACTTCAGTGGCAAAGCTGAAATCTAAGCCAGTCCTTGGTGGAAAGACACACCCTCTCACTCCCAGTCCTGGGACATGTCCACCCTATCAAGGTGAAACATACTTCTATCTACATCAGCACTGGCCAGGAAGCTGTTCAGCCCTGCCAACCCTTTCTATAACTAGGATCTCTGGGTTTATAATTAAACCGAAGAAATAGTAAGCAGTTGAGTTGCCAGAGAGAAATCATCCCTTTTACATAAAAGTGGGCAGGCATGCCAGGTGACTGTCCCTTCCATTCTCCGTTAGGCAGGGCTTCAGCTCAATTGTACATGGATGCCTAGGCTGCCTTTTGGTGACAAGCTCAGCTGTGTCAGAGCATCTCCCTGGGCAGGATCTGAGACTTCCCAGAGTATCTATCGTATAGTGTGTACACTTCGCTCCCTCCCTTCTCTGATTTCCTTCCTGATCTCTTTCTCATACGTATCAACATTTCCAAAATTGTCTCCACTCATTGAATAAGGTATGAATTTCTGTATGTCTTAGTGCCCTGTTCAGGGCTGTCTTCTAGTTTTCTGCCTGCCCATCAGACTCCATAAACCCTCTGAGATCAGGAGCTGGCTCTTGCTCATGCTTGCTCTCATAACTACTGGCCTAACTAACCCCGGCCCTTCCGCCATGAACATTTGCCAAATAAATGACCCGGGCTGATCCAGCCATCCACTCTTATCTGGTTCCTGCTGTCCCTGGAGCTACTGGAATTAAAGATGCAAAATGTGACACAGCGCCAAATGAACAGCCACCGACCCCATGACCCTGGGCTCGTTAGCCCTTGATTTAACCAAATCTGTCCCCAACATTAGCAGTGAGTATTCTAACACTCTAGATGCATTTTGTCACACATAACCCAGAAGTAGTTCCAACTCCTATTGATTCTGAAATGCTGAAAAGCTTTCTAAGGCCTTGGTATGTGCATAAGCAAGGTATTTTTCCTTGTTGAGAACTTGGTTTCATTACAGACTCTGATTGTCAGGCATACTTAAAGAATAACAAAAGAAGATGCTGCAAAAGAACGTTCTCTTTTTTTCTTTTTCCTTTTTTGAGAGGTTTTTTGCTATAGGGTGCATGCGCTCGCCAGAAAGACAGAGAGAGACAGAGACAGAAAGCAAGAAATCACCCCCCCAGGTGGGATGGCCACACCGCAATCCCTTTTCCTCCATCCTCCTCGAGATCTTGGGCATGCACACACACGTGCCTGGCATGAGTTTAAGCCACCAGGTTGGGGACTCAAACTGCGGTCGACTACATGGGAGTCCAGCGACATAGCCATTAGGCTAACTGCTGGTCCCGTAAAAGAATGTTCCTAATGATTAAGAAAAGAACAGTGATAGAGAAAATCATAATAACGACTAACATTTGTTCTACACTGGCTATTAACATTACCTCCAACCTAAAAATAAATAAATAAATAAAATAAAATAAAAAAATTACCTCCAGCCTACATAATTTCAAAGAAAGGGAATCAGGGAGGTTAGGTGTCTTGCCCAAGACTACACAGTGCTAAGGGCAGAGTTGAATAGTCAACATGTAGGTCTAATTCACAGAAGTTATATGTCTGCTGTTATTAGACTTGTCTACATTTGTTATCTAACAGATGAGATGTCTGTCAGTCCTCTATTTCCTCTGCCCATTTGTCTTAAGTGACAGCGGTAATGAGAACAATTCCAATTTTCTCTATATACACGCAGAAGTAGAATGGCCATTATAAACCTCATGAGCTTTTAGAGAAAGACACTATAAGATGTTATAATGTTATAATGGTCATTTTTACATCTGAAATATCTGCAGCTCTGCCCACATGATGTTGAGCTTCCCAGGGTCCAAAGAGCTGCCACCATTGTTGAATTTCCATGGTCAGTCAGCAAAAGACTGACCACAAACATGTCAGTGCCTCCAGCACTTGACTTTTGTAAAGTATTAACTATAGTGAGGAATTTTCTTTTGAAAATAGCATTAAATCTTGCAAAGGAATCCTAAAGACCAGAGAAATTTCATGACTCACTTCACGCTGAATCGAGTTAAAGAAAAACAAGCAAGTGAGTAGTTAAGGTGAAACAGTCTAAAACAAATTGTAGAATCGCTTTCACTTACACAAATACTTGTTTCACTTTTAAAATGGTTACTTTTTTATATTAAAAGATGTACAAGATAAGGAATACAGTGAAATAATCAAGCTGCAGATAAGTTGGTAAACTATGAAAACTCTATGTGAAAATGCAAAAGGATTTTGAAAGACCAGATGGTGGCACAACAGTGAGATGCAGCTCTCTGGGAAGCAAGCCCATGTGGGTCCTTGTTCAAGTCCAAAGACCTCCCTGAGTGTTCCAGGTACATACTCATCCATGATCTGGGCCTGACTGACGGCTGGAAGTGGATTGCAGCACCAGGACAGGCTGACTGCCTATCCCTCTGTCCATTAGTCATCCACATAGACACAAAATAAAAGAACAAAGAATTTATTTTCTGAGCCTTTTCATCTTGGATCCATGAATCACTAGTTTTCCTAAGGTTGAACTTGAAGACAGAAATAAATCTTTGGAAACAAATAAAAAGAGGGAGAGATCAACCAATTATGCCAATGGGTCAGGGAAAATGAGAGCCAGAATAAAAGATGGATTTAGCAACCTGAAAGTCTGGGCACCTTTTGTAAGAGCTGCTTTGTCAAAGTAATGAAAAGGAAGCATGCACAAAGTTAGGATAACTGCCCCCAAGTATGGTCAGGTACTAATGCCTGTGAACATGCTACCTGTTGTAGCTAAAGGGACTCTCAGATGTAATTAATGTTAAGGACCTTAAGTTGGGGAGATCATCTGCTGAGCCTAATGTAATCACATGTGTCCTTCAAAGAAGAGAGAGTCAGAAGAGGAGTCAGACAGATGAGATGAAATAAGAAGAAAACACTGAAAGGTGCTCATTCAATTCATTGTTGTTGGCTTTCAAGATGAAGAAGGAGGTTACTATCAAGAATTGTGACAGCCCTAAGAAGCTGGAACAGGGGCCAAGCGAATGGCAATGCAGACGGTCCATCCAGAAAATCAGGAGAGAAATAGTCTGCATGATGGCACGTGCCTGTTTCATGGACCCGACATGGGAGATAAGCTCATGGTCTTTCCTGTGACCTCATCTACTCAGTACATTGGGAAATGAGTCCCTTGCTGAAGAGAGAAGGTGGGAAGAAAATGTTGGAGGTTTGCAAGAGCAAGTGTGAGTAACTGCAGAAGTAGTTTTTAAAAAATTCCTATTTGAGAATCCTTCACATTTTATTCATTAAATTTTAAAGATTCTGTGTGTGTGTGCATGCACTCACTGGATAAAAACAGAGACAAGGAAGGAGGAGAAGTAAAAAATCACCCCCCACAGAGAATAGCCACACCACAATCACTTCTCCTCTATTTTTCTCTCAGGATTTTGGGCATGCACGCACATGCTCCTGGTGTGGCTTTCAAGCCTCCAGGTCCAGGACTCAAACCACAGTTGACCACATGGAATCTAACATCTTAATCTGCTTAACCCACTATGCCACTTGCTGGCCTAAATTAATATTATTTTTAGTTCACAAGTCATAATTATATATACTTAAAGAATACAATGTGGTATTTTATTATGTGACACTATTAAATCAAGTAATTAACATAGTTATCTTCTCATCTGTCATTTTTATATGGTAAGACATCTGAGATTTAGTCTCTAATTTTGAAATATACATTATTATTGACTATGGTCATTTACCTGTGCAATGGATCTCAGAAAGCATTCTTTCTATCTGAAACTTCTTACCTTTTGATTAATAAATCCCCTTCCCTGCCCACCCCTTCATCCCCTAGCTTTCAGTAATACCATTCCACACTCTTCTTTAAGTTTGACATTTTTAGATCCTGCATATACATGAGATCATATGGTATTTGTCTATCTGTTGTCTGGCTTATTTGATTATTCCTTTCCCCACTTCAAAACAAAAAGAAAAAATTCTAGAAGGCCATGTAATAGCATCCACTATAAACCACTTTCAATCTAAACATAAGAAAGAATATAAGGATAAGAAAATGTGAGAGATCACTCTCACACACACACACACACACACACACACACAGCTCTTGCTATTCTTCCATGCTTGGTTGAAAGAGAACACCTCATATATTGAGAATGAGTGGAAGGGCCAATCCTAGCAGACAGTCATGTTCTAACATCAAACTTAAGTCCCCTCTGATAACATCTTTAATGCTATAGCTCAGAGGTTCACTCTGTGATAACAATTGAGGTTCAGCTTCAACTTTCACTGAGGCCAAAGACTGATTATGGGGTACAATGTGATGTTTTACTGTATGCATACAATGTGGAATGATTGAATCAAACCATTTGAACCTAAGTACTTAGTGCATCACTGGACAGAGAATATACAATGTGGCTTATACAACATAGACAACATAGTTAAATTAGAATAAGATATTCCATGGATACCAGAGACAATGTGGGAGGAGGGTGGGACATAGCAGAGGGTGAGGGATAGGGAATCAAGGATGGCAAAAAAA